TCAGCGGAACCTTAACTAGTAGGTGAGCGCACGGGGCTCAAACCTGAGGGGACGTTGCTAACACGAACCCTAGTAGGAGCCGTGCTTCGCAGAATCTACCACCGGATCGGAAATGCGACCCACTGAGAAGATCCGGCGAGAACCTCTGTGTCTGAGGGTTAATTTACTCATGGAGCCCTTCGTCGCAAGCGATGGATTCGACGAGAACGGTGACCGGTGTTTGAGGTACCTAAAAGCACCGTTAGTGGATCGGGAGGAGCCGAAATGACGTGTTTGGGGCGACGTCGACTGCTTTCCCTTCTTTCCGCAGAGTCGGGAAAAAGCTACGAACCATGAACACACTCATCCATCGCAAATTTAAACACCCCGTATTTCAAATTTCCTCCGATGTCCGTTCGTCTCATGTGAAAACTTATATCGATTTAAATAGATCATTTATTTAAAAATAAACTAGTTTCTATGAATATTCATCAACAAAGTCGAATCGTCTAGTTGTCATAAGGTAACAGCTCATTAGAGCAACCCGGCACCGGCTCGTCGCGCGATTTCCACTCGTGGTCGTCAGGCGGTCCACGGCTGGTCTCCGCGTGGTTAACGGGCAGACGTCGCTTTTTCAACGAATTTTCGAGTAGTCTGTTAATTGGTAGGTACTAGTGGCCGCCCGGTAGTCGAAATTCGACTATAATTAAGTTTGTACACTATTATGATTCTATTTTCAAAGACTATTATACTTCTATATTCACAAATTTCGCCAAGACTACACTAGGTATAGAAAAATATTAATAACTAGCGATCCGCCCTCGCTTCGCTTCGGAAATATTAAAACACACATGAAACCAAAAAAATAAAATAAAAAAAAGTAGCCTATGTTCATCAGGGACAATGTCGGCTTCTAATGGAAAAAGAATTTTTCAAATCGGTCCAGTAGTTTCGGAGCCTATTCGAAACAAACAAACAAACAAATCTTTCCTCTTTATAATATTATTATTATTATAGTATAGATAGTATAGAAGAAGACAAACAATATTGAATCTATTCTCAATTTGACCACAGACGTCAAGAACAAAAGCTTGACAATAAATAAATAGTATGCACGCGTGTGTGCGTCAAATACACGGTAGTGTGTGTAATGTTTTTAGTTATTGATTTAATGTATTTTTCAGGCATAATTAAAAAAAAATATTAACATTCTGCACTCCTTCTCTATATTCTCTATAATTGTGGGAAATTTCATACTCCTCCGTCCGCGCAATTTTCGTAAAAAGGGATACAAAGTTTTTCCTTCACGTATTAATATATAGACGTGTCGTCCTCGCGTGAATCATTCGTGGCCAGCATTGGCAATGCGCGTCACTGTAAGATAAGCATGCGAGCTGCAAGTTGTTGCCAAGTGGTCGACCAGCCGTCCGCGCGTGGGCGATTTACGACCGAGGCGATGCGATGAGTCGATGGAGTCGGTGGTACGAAGTTCATAGTAAGCGGCTAAGCGCATACCCATACAAGTCCATAATAATATAAAAAATTCTAACCGCACGAGGCGAGGCGGTGCGGAGTGAGTATAGGAATTCGTTGAGGGTTTCGGAATAATAGAAACACTGAAAGTCTTATTTTTATGATTGAAGTGTTACTGGTGGCCCGGAGGCCTTTCCAGTTTCACCAGCATAAGTGGGCGAGCAAGGCTCAGCCAGGAGGGGTGGGATTTGCTAACAATTACCCGAGCGCCTCCGAAGAAGACCTAACAACTCAAGAGTAACTGCTTCGCGAATGAATCTACTACCGAATCGGAATTGTGACCCGCTGAGAAGATTCGGCGAGAAACTCAGCGGGTCGATGCATGGGTTAGGTCGCACGTCGAACTCTTTGCAGAGTTCGGCGAGTACGGTTGCCGGGATCCCTAAGCCTGCTCCTAGTGTTAGAGCTGAAGGTATCTAATGCAAGAGTTATTGGATCTGATGGATCCGTAAGGACGTGTCTAGGGTGCCACTCCAAGTCATTTCGATACTATAATGAAACACCACAATTATCACTGGGTTAAGTAATTACACAGTATTGGTTTTATAATTCTGAATATTATCAAATTCCAAAAAAAATTACATAAAATTTTTATATCTGTCAGTCTATATGACTTGAGTGCGTGTGTCTTTTGGTCATAGACTAAATAGTTATAGTGGTGGCAATGTCGCCACATGAGTGCCTGGTGGCTCTAATGAGCTGTGACCTAAGTTTAACATCCTTAGTACTGTAGACGCGTTACTGGTGGTAGGACCTCTTGTGAGTCCGCACGGGTAGGTACCACCGCCCCGCCTATTTCTGCCGTGAAGCAGTAATGCGTTTCGGTTTGAAGGGTGGGGCAGCCGTTGTGACTATACTGAGACCTTAGAACTATATCTCAAGGTGTGTGGCGCATTTACGTTGTAGATGTCTATGGGCTCCAGTAACCACTTAACACCAGGTGGGCTGTGAGCTCGTCCACATATCTAAGCAATAAAAAAAAAAAAAAAAAAAAGACGCGTATTTCATACTTCAATAAAACTCACGATAGCACAAAAACGAATTCCATTTATTATTATCATCAATGATACAAAACTAGAAAATAAATAAAAAAACATCATACTGTATAACTATTAAAATTTATTTAGTATTGTACTGTGTTTTTCTTATTTTCTATGATAGGAGCAATTTGTATCATACTGCACAAAACTTATTAATAGTATTGTACTATGCTTTCCTTATTTTCTATGAGAGAAGTCAATTTATAGCCTTCAATAACTATATAAAGTAAAAAAAAACTTATATCATTTAAGTTACAAGAGAAACAATTGAAATTGAAATTTCTCTGAGGGATGTAACTGCTCCAAAACGATTTTTTTTTGTTCTGAATAATATGACCTATGGATATAGGCAATGGCAGAGTCAGGGCAAAAGCTAAACCATCACATTGCTTAATTAGAAGCAATTTTAAACGTTGAAGAAAATACAAATTTGATGCAAGCTGCCAAAATAATCCTAATGCACAATGAAATCCCATAATCTCTAGCCTGTACTATATTTATACAGCTGTTTTTAAGTTTTACCTTGTGAGAATTTGGACATCGACTCTTCAAAGACAGGACACAAAAGGAAATAAAAAAAGAATCGTAGCTTACACGAAAAAGGCCACCGTCCGCCACCGGAGTAGAGTTCATCCATACTACTGTAGGAATATACGACAAAGGGAAGATCTTCCACCGAGCGGGTGATATTGCTCGGTAGACCGACGGTCCGAATGTTGTTGTTCGGAACTTGTATATATACGCTTTATCTTGAAAATGTCGTAAGCGAGATTCAGGCATCTGTCAAATATCTTGCGTTGTATGATGGCTACCCGCCACACTACCTGGAGCCATTACGTTCATCCACAGTGCGTTTCCAGAGATCTTTTTTGCCACGCACCATCCGGCTATGGAATGAGCTCCCCTCAACGGTGTTTCCCGAGCGCTATGACATGTCCTTCTTCAAACGAGGCTTGTGGAGAGTATTAAACGGTAGGCAGCGGCTTGGCTCTGCCCCTGACATTGCTGACGTCCATGAGCGACGGTAACCACTCACCATCAGGTGGGCCGTATGCTCGTATGCCTATACGGCAATAAAAAAAGGCTCTAACGACATCCACTCTAAATTGCTATTTTGTTTGAAATAACAAAATTCTTATGTTATTTTTAAGCCAAAATTACCACCTAGTTAAGTTTATTCTTAGAGCTGTTGGATAATCTAGATCTTACTTACCTTATAGTTAGATTAAATACAGATTGCCTTGTTTGGAATATCAGAATGATAATGAAAGTTGTGGTTTGTATTCATATTATGATCCACGTGTGGAGGTTCGGTTATACTCACATTGGAATCCGTTGGGGTAGGCAATTCAACAGAAGTAGAAATTTATTCACTTATTTAGCGAGCGCAAAAAAAAATTATGTATACTTAGGAATTTTGACGTAATTCACTAATGCGTACATAATTCTCTCTATCATTAAAAGTAAATTAACAAATCATAGTCATTAACTATGATTCAGATATCTGTTAAGTATTTATAAAGAGAAATATGTACGCCTTGGTAAAACAAATCTGAAAATTTTAAATAAAAACACAATTCCATATTTTTTTCTATTAACAAGCCAATGATTTTGAAATACATTCTTAAGTTTAATAAAACAAATGTTTTCTCTTCAGTCTTTCTTGTATAAATATATGGAGGCATTAGACATCACATAGCAAACGTCACCCGCCTTGAGGCACGAGGATCGACCTCAAGCCTCAACATAACCTCATGCCTAAACAACGACCACCTCATCCTTCAAGCTTATCATAAATCTTATCTTAAATAATACCGAGTAGACGTTTACAACCTATTACATTGCGTATTCATGTACTTAATAATTAAAAGAAGCAATGCCTATTAAAGAAAACGGTGCGCGTGCAACTTGATGCACGTGAATGAAGTGAAACTTCTTGTAGTATTGTGGTTTTCTTCATTTTTTATCCTTAAATCAGATTGCTCTTGTAATAGGGAATGCTTTGTATAAGAGATGCGATATCTTCAACATTTACATTATAATAGCAACCCGCCCTCGCTTCGCTTCAAAAACTGTAATTTATTATTGATTTCTCCACTATTTAATGGATGTTATTATACATATAAGCCTTCCTCTTCAATCACTCTATCTATTAAAAAAAACCGCATCAAAATCCGTTGCGTAGTTTTAAATATTTAAGCATACCTAGGGATATATGGACAGAGAAAGAGACTTTGTTTTATACTATGATATATTTGAAATTATAGATAGAAAAATAAATATATATATTTTTTAAATACTTCATTAAGATATTGGACGCCACTCGTTGCTATCGCTCGCGCTGGCCTGTAACAGTTATACTACGCGCATGCGTTCGAGTGCCACGCATTCACTCTCGCTCTGTCTCTTTCTATTCCATGGTAGCGTTAAACATTTAACGCAACCTTGTTAGAAGTCGCATTAGAAGTTTCACTTCAATTATTATTTGTGTTTGCTCGTTTTTTTATCTTTTCGTTCGCGGACAGTTTGTCAAACTGTTTTGCTGTTGGCACTTGGGAGGTTTTTGTCGTAGTTCAGTCAACGTACGGAAAATGGCACGCAATTAGTTTTAGTAGTTTCTTGTATTTCGCATATGGCAATAATCACAGTGAAGCGCCATTGATTTCACTAATTGTTTACATAGTTATCGATGCTCTGTGCATTATTTCTAATGTATCAAATAATTACTCGAACGACTAAGAATACTATTAGAGATATCAATTAAAATTACATTAGTAAGCATCAAGTAATAAGTCGACACAATGAATCCGGTATTGAATATAGGGCGTATATTTGAGTCTCTTCGTTGTTCCGACTCGGGCTGGTTTGTTTCAATAAGCTCGAAAGCTCGGAGCGAGCTTCGTCTATTAGGCCCTGACGTTTGGGGAACCTGGGAACGAAAATTAATTTATATTTCGCTGATTTGTGAGGGATAATGTAAAGCTGAGGTCTCTTTATATCTTCAAAGGCTTATATATAAATTAGGTTTTTAGTGTACTATGTAATAACAGTTTGAGGCTGTGTACTTAGTGTTTGTAAAGGTCGTATAATGTACATAACACAAATAGATCATGAGTGCTCATATTGGATTTTTTGATAAATGTATTTACTTAAGCTACCGGCTCTGACTGTGGCGCAGAGGGTTGTTTGTTCTTTGTTTGGGTCTTCATGTATATACCCATTTAGGCGTCTATATTTGCCTTTGTAGGCAGACGCGCATACGGCCCACCTGATGGTGAGTGGTTACCGTCGCCCATGGACTTCAGCAGATCCAGGGGCAGAGCCAAGCCGCTGCCTACCGTTAAGTACTCTCCACAAGCCTCGTTTGAAGAAGGATATGATGTAATGTTGGCCATTTTCTCAAAATTAACAAGTTGTATCATATCACATCCACTCATATCCTTAATTCTACTAGTGGTCCCTATGTAGTCGAAATTCGACTATAAATAATTGAAATTATCATTTTCAAACATGTTTTATTAGGTTCTACTGTCAAAAACTATTATACTTCGCCAAGACTACACCATAGACAAATAATATTAAAGATAAACAATATTAATCTATTTTCAATTTGACGACAGACTATGCAATAACAAAAGTTTGACAACAAACAAAGAGTACCTATGCATATATGTGTGTGTGTGTGTGTGTCAAATAAATATTATTGTGTATATTTTTTTTAAAATTGATTTAATGTATTATAAATGCCCAATTAAAAAATATATTTGCCTTTTGCATTCCTTCTCAATATTCTCTATAAGTGTGAGAAATTTTTTACTCCTCCGTCCGCGCAATTTTCGTAAAAAGGAGTACAAAGTTTTTACTTCACGTAAAACTTTTTTTAACAACCACGAGTTCTTTTTTAAAAGCCACGCTCTGCTACCATGTTGAGGTTGTTTTTCAATAAAAGGAGACCAGTCGTGTTCTTAGACAATTGTATTCACGGAAAGAGGAAGAAGGGAGCCATGACAGACATATTTAAACAACCATAGATTAATATAAATCAGTATTATAAAATTACATACAACCATAGATTACAACAATAATATAAAAATAACTCACATTTCCGTAACGTTTCTGAAGGCTTGCGACAGATCATCGGCATCTAATGGCGCCGTCAGCTGCGAGGCCATGTACCTGACGCAGGCGGAGTCGCAGGCCACGGCTAGTACGTTGACGCGCACCCTCGCCATGACCGGCAGGAGGCCCAGACTTACCAGAATCGACGTCACTTGAGTGTTTATCTGTAATATAAGCGAATACGTAGACTTTTTGGCGGGAACGCGAGGAGTGAAGTTGTGTGAATTGTTTTATTTTATCGATTTAGCGTTTATTCATGTTTAAATGTGTAATAATAGTGGTTTATTAACTGTTTAATATCTGTGAAAGTGCACAAAGGTGGGAAAACGAAACAAAGCCGCTAGACGTAACTTCTCGGGATCCTCCAAAAAGTCCACTGAAAAAATCTTAGTAAATGACCACCATTTTACTGAGATTATATTTCATTCCATATCATCTCATTTCATTTCATTTCATTTCATTTCATCCCAGTTGATTAATGTCTCAAATTAATCATCTTCATTTTATTTCACTCCATATTATCATTTTTCATTAAAATATGAATGTAAATTAAAATAAGACATGACTTAAAGGTCTTAGTTACCAGGTCATAAAATCCCTTAAAAGGAGTGAAGTTGTGTGAATTGTTTTATTTTATCCATTTATTTTTTCTTCGGGTTTATATGTGTAATAACGGTGGTTTTAGCTAATTTGGTCATATTATTATTATTTCTTTTTTTTTTATGATTTTAATTATCCCACCATTAAAATAACCTTAAATTTTATAGTAAGTATGTAAAAATGAAACGTCTATAGGTATTTTATTAATGTCCTTGAGAGCACGGGTAGCTTTGCCGAAAATGGCTCATGTCCTTTCATATCAATTTGGCTCAAGTTCTTGAGTTTTAGGCCACCCACATACATTCGCTTTTATTATATTTTATTATTATGCATAGTTTAGTTTTTAAGAGCTCACCTGATTCTCGCAGTGCCTCTTCGAGTTTTTCGTCATTCTGTCGCTGGCCGTTATGAAAGTGACCGATATATTCGGACTGTTGTATTTTTCGGAGCTTTCGGACCAGCTTATCGATCGGTTCGTGCTAGAACCTGTTGAAATGCACCAAAACCGAAACGTCATAAGTATTAATTAGGAACTGTAAAAATCATCGGGTAATATTAAATTTCATATAGACGGAGAATTTGACCAAGTGTCTTGAATTTTTTTGTTGCTTTCATGGGTGGACGAGCTCACAGCCCACCTGGTGTTGAGTGTTTACCGGAGCCCTACCGCGCCACCTACCTTGAGATATAAGTTCTAAGGTCTCAAGTATAGTTACAACGGCTGCCCCACCCTTCAAACCGAAACGTATATGAGAGGTCCGAAATAAAAAAAAAAATGTAATAAACGAGAGATTTAACCGAATAAAATATGAACGCATGTGTGTGTATATATTTAATAAAAATAAAACCCCCTTATTATTCTTTCCAACGCCACGTCACATCCACGACTATAAACAATTTTTATTCTGAACACACTTTTACTTCTTCACATAAACCGTTATAATCTGTATGTGGATGACATAATCCCACAAACGCCATGAACCTTGCGAACGTCATTCACATAACGCTACACATTAAAATGTTATCTGGAAAGTTAATGTTATTTTGATAACTTATTTTGCGGTGGTGGCACCTACCCGCGCGGACAAGTGGCCCTACCACCAGTAAAAATGGGACAGCTTTTACATAATAGGATTAAATTTTCGACCTCATGTCTCAAGGCGGGTGGGAACATGTTTGGGATGTCTATGGACTCCAACAGCCACTTAAAACCGGACGGACCGTGCACTCGTTCACCTAACTACGCAATTTTATTTCTTTGATGTTATTGCCAATCGTTATTATCAATGCGTTATCTACCTATTTATTTTATATGTATATCGATTTTGTTATTTCAATATTTTGTCAAATAAAATTTTGTTGTTTTTACGTAGTTTATTAGTGTGTGTGTGTGATATTTTATGGATTTGTATTTTATTTTCTCTTTAAGCCACAACGATTTAATTTAGTAAATAAATAAAGAAAATACTACACATTAAGTCGTTACAAATTAAGTTTTATTAATATCATATTTATAATTTTTAGGCTAAGTCATTTAAAAATAAGCCTTAATGATTCGCGTTAAGAGTCAAATTAAGTTGTTTTTTTGTCTAACACAAACTTACTTTGCACTTCGTTTAATTATTATTTTTCAAGAAATTTTATGGCCTGGTAACTAAGACCTTTAAGTCATATCTTATTTTAGTTTTTTTTTTTTTTAATAAAAAAGGATAATTTACTGAGATTTTTTCAGTGGACTTTCTGGAGAATCCCGAGAAGTTACGTTCCAGCAGCTTTTTTTTCATTTTCCCACATTTGTGCACTTTCACAGATATTAAACAGTTAATGAATCACCGTTATTACACATTTGAATCTGAAGAAACACTAAATAAACAAAATAAGACAATTCACACAACTTCACTCCTCGCGTTCCCGCCAAAAAGTCCGCACTTCGTTTAAAAAAAATTACATGTGTGCAATTCACACGTGGTAGAAGTGAAACCTTCCAAAAGTAAAATACAATTATCCTAAACGTCTTAAGTATATGTAAAATTTTGTCTTTAGTAAATAATTGTAAGGTAGCGCCCTCTGTGAATTGATATTTTAATTTCACGTATAATCCTAAATTAAAATTCACTACAAGAGCTTTCATACACATGTTAGTATTAAAAAATCTCACAGATGGCGCTGTATTAAATAGTATGTATATTTCTGTCTCATTCTTTGCTGGCTTCATCCTACACATTTTTGTATTTGTGTCTCTTACCTGTCGTTTTTTCCGTTGCATCCGTTTTGAAATCACAACGTTTCTAAAGAAGTTTTCACTTCAACAATGCTTACCTTCAGGATTCCGAGACGAGTCGCCGATAATTTTTTGTTTGATGAAATCGACAACATCCACGTAGGGCACCCTGTGTTCCCGGATCCTGCGAAAACGGTTGAAAACAGATTCGATGTGATTTATGTGTCGTCTATTTCTTAGAGGTATCTTGAGGTGGCCAGGAAAATGAATAAATGCATTTACTTCTTCAAATACCAATTATATTGTTTTTAATTATTTTACAGATGTATCTATTTTTATTGCTTATATGGGTGGACGAGCTCACCATAGCCCACCTGGTGTTAAGTGGTTACTGGAGCCCATAGACATCTACAACGTTAATGCGCCACCCACCTTGAGATACGAGTTCTGAGGTCTCAGTATAGTTACAGCGGCTGCCCCACCCCTCAAACCAAAACGCATTACTGCTTCACGACAGAAATAGGCGGAGTGGTGGTACCTACCCGTGCGGACTCACAAGAAGTTCTACCACCAGTGATTACGCAAATTATAATTTTTCGGGTTTGATTTTTATTATACGATGTTATTCCTTCACCGTGGAAGTCAATCGTGAACATTTTTTAAGTGCGTATATCATTAGAAAAATTGGTACCCGCCTGCTGGATTCGAACACCATTTTACTGAGATTATATTTCATACCACATCATCTCATTTCGTTGCATTTCATTTCGCTTCATATTATAATTTTTCATAAAAATCTATTTAAATAATGATGAAGTGCTGTTCGTTAGTCTTGCTAAATCTCGGGAACGGCTGGACCGATTTGGCTAATTTTGGTCTTGAATAATTCGTAGAAGTCCAGAGAAAGTTTAAAAGGTGAATAAATATGAAAATGCTTGGAATTATATAAAAACAAACAATTTTGTTTTTCCTTTGATGTGTCTCCTGTCAGACGGATTTCTTTTGTTTTTTTTAAGTTTATTTTATACAAAAGTTTAGGTCTTTTATTTATCGATTGAGGCACTACGAAGTCTGCCGGGTCAACTAGTAAGAATATAAATTAAAATAAGACTTGACTTAAAGGTCTTAGTTACCAGGTCATAAAATCCATTAAAAAAAAGTCGCACCTGTCCTGGTCCCAGCAGGACAGCCGGACGAGGGGCGGGTCGTGCTCGGCCAGCACGGCGCCGGGCGCGAGGTCGGGCGCGTCCCCCGCGTGCAGCCCGGCTCGCAGCCCGCCCGCCCACAGATCGCGCGCCAGCTGCGCCCGCCGCGCCGCCGCCGCGCCCTCCCGCCCGCTGCCCACCGCGCCCCACACGCGCACGTGCACCAGCGGCGTCTGCCGACACGCATCACAACAACTTCATTGATGACATCGGAATCATAAGCGAAGCACAGAGCGAGCAGCTTGCGACGTGTGGACGCGCCTAATGGTGAATAGTGGGTTAGGATCGACATGTGATGATGAAATGAATTTTTTTTTATTGCTTAGATGGGTGGACGAGCTCCCAGCCCACCTGATGTTAAGTGGTTACTGGAGCCCATAGGCATCTACAACGTAAATGCGCCACCCACCTTGAGACATAAGTTCTAAGGTCTCAGTATAATTACAACGGCTGCCCCACCCTTCAAACCTAAACGCATTACTGCTTCACGGCAGAAATAGACAGGGCGGTGGTACCTACCGGCGCGGACTCACAAGAGGTCCTATCACCAGTATGAATTATGAAATGTGATTGAAATGACAATGAGGTTGGTAAGAGAGTGTTAACTATGAATGTGGACGGTAATAGAGGAAGAGGTAGACCTAAGAAGAAATGGATGAATTGCGTGAAAAACGATATGTGTAAGAGGGGAGTGAGCGAAGAAATGGTATACGAGTATAATAGAGGTGTAAGGAAGGAGAAAACATGTTGCAACGATCCCATTTGACTGGGAGAAGGGCAGGAGGATGATGATGATCGGAATGGTGAATTGTAAACAGTCGACGTCGCCCTAAGGATGTCGTTTCTGATCTTCCTGGTCCACTAACGGTGCTTTTAGGTACCTCAAGCATCGATCACCGTTCGAACCCACAGACACAGCCCACTGAGTTTCTCGCCGGATCTTCTTAGTGAGTCGCCTCTCCGATCCGGTGATATTTTCTGCGAAGCACTCTTACTAAGGCTAGTGTTACTAACGCCCTTTGGTTAGAGACCCGTGAGCTTACCCGTACGGTGAATCTAGTATGACCTCTCCAGGTCACTAGAATAGGAAAAAAAAGCAGTGAAGTAATTCGGAGAATCTACCACCAGATCAGAAACCCGACCCATAAAGAAGTTCCGGCGAGAAACTCAGTGGACTAAGATGATATCGGAATCGTGATTGATGGTAGCACGTGTTTGAAGCCCGCCCGATAGGTACCTTTTTTTTTTCTACCTAAGCTGATAGCCTTGAGAGGATATATCAGCGTCGCCTTAACTAGTAGGTGAGCTCACGGGGCTTAAACCTGATGACGTTGCTAACACGAACCCTAGCAAGAGTCGTGCTTCGCAGAATCTAACACCGGATCGGAAACGCGACTCACTGAGAAAATCCGGCGAGAAACTCAGTGGGCTGTGTCTGAGGGTTATTAAATCGTCGAGCCCTTTCGTTCGACGAGAACGATGACCGGTGCTTGAATAGGTACCACCTATTGCTTCAGGGCAACCAAGACAGTAATAATTTACATATACAGTGTTCCAATACGCCCTACCACCAGTAAATACCGATTACGATTGAAGCACGCCAGTCTAACACCAATTATAATGACATCAGCGGGGACATACGGGGTTGGGGGGAGAGGGTTCTATTATACCACTGACCTCGTTACTCTTGATCGGCACGTTCGTTTGCGTCTCCAGTTTGTTGAGGAAGGCCGCCATCCGTTCGAGGGACATCGAGAACCCGACCGAACACACATTCAAATCGGCGCTGTCTTGATCGTTTTCCGCGCTCGCTACATTCCAGAACTCCTTGACCAGAGCGTCGTATCTAAATAAATATACATTGTTTATAAAAGAAACAGAGAAAAACAATTTTTTAAAGATATTTTATGACCTGGTAACTGAGACCTTTAAGTCAGTCTTATTTTAATTTATATTCATATTTTTATGAAAAATGATATTATGGAGTGTAATGAAATGAAGATTATTAATTTGGAACATTAATCAACTGAGATGAAATTAAATGAAATGAAATATTAATCTCAGTAAAATGATGGTCATTTACAAAAAAAAATTCAGTGGACTTTTTGGAGGATCCCGAGAAGTTACGTCCAGCGGCTTTGTTTCATTTTCCCACATTTGTGCACTTTCACAGACATTAAACAGTTAATAAACCACCATTATTACACATTTAAACCCGAAGAAACACTAAATAGACAAAATAAAACAAATCACACACTTCACTCCTCGCGCTTCCGCCAAAAAGTCCGGAGAAAAAAAACTAAGCATGGAATAACGAGATAAATAATAGGTATTATTTAACTATGAAGTTGCCGTTTTACAATACTGGCTATTTGACACGTAATTAGTGTATGGCTGGCAATAAATTCTAAATTTAAATGAATTTTATTCTAAAAATAGTTATGGAATTCTATTTTCAAATATTATTTTTTTGTACAACCGACTTTTGATAAATGGCAGTGCATCCAAACTGTATTCCCAAACAAGCAGCCTTGCTGATGGTTCACACTTTAAAAACCTGACTTTTGGGTGTCATAGACCTCATGTCTCACGGTGGATGGCGGGCATGCACATCAAGACGTCTATGGAGCCGTATAACTGTTCAACAGCAGACGGGCCGTGAAGTTAGGTCGTGTAAAACTAACTAATAAACAAAATTCATAGCAAAATCGACCTTCCGCCAGCCGCAATAAGGTCCCCGGAACGTCGTTTGGTGATCGACTTCTGTTCGCTTCGCACGACGGACATCTGCCAGAACACGCCGCTGTGCTGCGTCACGTTGTACGCCGAGAGCGGAGCCACCGTCATCGGGCACTGAAAATACAAATAGTTAATGTCAATGTCAATAATTAATTTCAATGTCATTATCATTGAGCACACGTATATATGTATATATACATATATTGTTTGTCCTGTTTTAGGTAAGTAATTCAACAGTTGATTACTTTGTAAAATAATAATAATTAAAATTGATGTGACCTTGTGCAATCACGAAGCCCACCCAACAAAAAAGAATCCAAACCACACCAAAAGAAATCTGAGCATAACCAAAACCACAGACTATAAAACTTGATTTTGGCGAAATCAAAAAGGACCGCCATTACAAAAGAAAATGAAATTAGCACCCGTATAGAATTTTTTTATTTTTTATTGCTTATGTGGGTTGACAAGCTCACAACCCACCTTGTGTTAAGTGGTGACTGGAGCCCATAGACATCCACAACGTAAATGCGCCAACCACCTTGAGATATAAGTTCTAAGGTCTCAAGTATAGTTACAACGACTGCGCCGCCCTTCAAGCCGAAACGTATTACTGTTTTACGGTTGAAACAGACAGGGTGGCCGTACCTAGCCGTGCGGACTCACAAGAGGTGCTACCATCATTTCAATGTCATTATCATTGAGCATACGTGTTGATAAACAAAATAAAGTTTTCCGAAAACAAATCGCTCTAGTGAGTATATTGATTTAATTCCCTAAATGAATTACTGGTTCGCGAAAAAATTAGGCATCATGGTGCGGTCTTGGAATGACCGTAGCAGGCCGGGGAATCCCTCAATTGGTGTTACTCCAAGCACTACAGGCAATCGAGCTAAACACTCAGTCAGGACTAGATTAACGAATTTATTTTATAATTTTTACTATTTTGGCCCCATAGAGTTCATCCGGTCCAAATTGAAGAGTGGAATTGTCGTTCTACAATTTATTCATTGTTTCGACGGGTTTCAACTGAGTCCCAGAGACCGTGGACATCAACAATGTAAATTCCGCAATCTTAAGCAAGACTTCTAAGTCTCTGTTCAGTGGTACAGTACCTACTCGTGAGGCTTCACAAGACACTCTGACGTCAGTAGACTGAGACTTCATGTGTCAAGATAAGGGGTGGCAGTTCCGACCTTTTTTTTCTTCTACCTATGCTGATAGCCTTAGAGGCTATTTCAGCTTCAACCTAAAGTGTAGGTGAGCTCACGGGACTCAAACTGGGGGTGTCGCTAACACTGGGCCTAGCAAGAGCAGTGCTTCGCAGAATCTACCAGCGGATCGGAAACGCGACCCACTGAGAAGATCCGGCGAGAAACTCAGTGGGTCATGTCTGTGGGTTAATTTACTCGTCGAGCCCTTCGTCGCAAGTGACAGGTTCGACGAGGACGGTGACCGGTGCTTCATCATCATCAGCCTGCGGCAGTCCACTGCTGGACATAGGCCTCCTCCAAAGCTCTCTACTGAACCCGATCTTCGGTTCTACGCAACCAGTCAATGCCAGCTGCCTTGCGCAGGTAGTCGCTCCATCTAGCAGCTACCGGTGCTTGAGATACCTAAAAGCAACATTTATGAGCTTCGGTGAGCACACATCGAGTGAGTGGTGAGCTCACCCGTCTCTCACCTCACAGCCCAGCGCCTTGGCGTTCCTGTACACGGCTTCCAGGTCGTGCACGGCCTGACTCGCGATCCTACTGCACTTCGCTTGTTTGACGAGAGGCGTGACCAGCTCCCGGAGCTCTTGGACCGGCGCATCCGCCTCCATCAGGCGGACCAGGTTCGTGACGTCACGATTCGTTATACAGAGCGACGTCAAGTGTGTTTGAAGTTGCAGACTCGTTATGCGACCTAAAAATTGTAAAAGTCATTTTACTGGTGTTAGGACCTCTTGTGAGTCCATACGGGTAGGTACCACCACGCTCCCTGTTTCTGCCGTGAAGCAGTAATGCGTTTCGGTTTGAAGGGTGGGGCAGCCGTTTTAACTATACTGAGACCTTAAAACTTATATCTCAAGGTGAGTGGCGCATTTACGTTGTAAATGACTATGGGCTTCAGTAATCATTTAACAATAGGTGGGCTGTGAGCTCGTCCAACTAAGCAATAAAAAAAAATAACTTTTTTTTTTAGGTCGTCTATGTAAAGATTATGAGTTTTTTTTATTTAAATACATTTAGAGGTCTTAAATCTGTGGGTTAGTGGTTAATTTTTTTTTTATTGCTTATATGGGTGGACGACTTCACAGTCCACCTGGTATTAAGTGGTTACTGGAGCCCATATGCATCTACATCGTAAATGCGCCACCCACCTTGAGATATAAGTTCTAAAATATCACGTATAGTTACTACGGCTGCCCCGCCCTTCAAACCAAAACGCATTATTGCTTCACGGCTGAAATAGGCGGGGCGGTGGTACCTACCCGCGCGGACTCACAAGAGGTTCTACCACCAGTAAAATAGGTTGATGCACTCGTATCGACCTCACGCAACAATATGGCAACGACGTTGCTACGTTTATCTACATTAAAATCATAATTGATTTATTTAGTACTCACCGAAGCTGACGTCGACCAAAACAGGGTATATATCAGCCTGTTTGTCTGTCGGTACCCCGCACGACTGTAGCAGGACGCGAATCAGTTCCGTGTGATTTAGTTGTATCGACACTTTGAGGGAACACTCCGATGCCGCTCTACTTGCGACCTCTATTAATTCTGCGTCCGGCCATAGAGAGTCTGTAAAATTAAAATAATATTGTTTACAGGATTACATTACATTTTGTCTCCAATTCAGTGCAGTGACATTTAAAATATGCTGTTAATTCCCGTAACCGAACAAAATAAATAACCAGATATCAATCATGCTCGAAGGACCAAATGCTATTTATTATCTTTTTCATTTTAGACAATTTCCTAGAATTCATTAATAAATCTGACTTTATGTTTACCGAATATTTACTAATAGAGAAATTTATATACAAAACAATGTTTAAGGCACAGTTTAACAATTATTTATTGTTTGCAACAACATAAAATTTGAAGGTGTGAAGATTTTACGTACTTGCTAAAAATAAAAAACAAAAATTCAATTACTCACCAGTTTTAGGGGTGACGATATCGTAGGCACATTCAAGAATTTCCTTCGGGTGAAAACCTTGAACGTGCTTCTCTCTATAAACCCTATCGACTATAAAACGACGGAGATTTTTTATACCGGAGTATGCTATGTGCCTGAAAATTATTGATAGATCAAACGTTAATTATTACTAGTGGTCCCTATGTAGTCGAAATTCGACTATAATTATTTGAAATTATAAGTTTGAACATTATTATGATTCTATTGTCAAAGACTATTATACTTCTATAATCACAGATTTCGCCAAGACTACACTATAGACAAATATTAATAAAGACAAACAATATTTCATCTATTCTTAATTTGCCCAAACAATAAGCAATAATAAAAGATTGACAATAAACAAATTTATTGTTATATTTATTGATTTAATGTATTTTTATGCATAATTTAAAAAAAAATATTAAAATTGTGCACTGCTTCTCTATAAGTGTGGGGAAATTTCATACTCCTCCGTCCGGGCAATTTTCGTAAAAAGGCGTCCAAATGTTTGCCTCGTGTATTGATATATAGATATTTTTAATTAAAAGGCCCAGCCTTTTTGAGTTGATTCAAAAGGCTTACCTGGCGAAAGGCAGCCTCAAGTCGTGCGGTAAATGACAGACCGAGCCCGATGACGTCATGACTTTGACAGCGTTAGGATACTGGTCCCAGGCTCTCGCTCTCGGTATAAGGAGCGGCGGAGCGAACTCTAAAGCTCCGTGACTTTTGAATACCTATTAAATAATCCAATAAAATGTATTGTAGCTTAAGGTTTTGAGAGTATTTATGTATTTTATGGAGTCGGGGATGTATTAGGGATCATCGCTGTGTGTTCGCCACGCGGGGTGGTGGTGCTACTGACATTCTAAATTATATTTTTTTCTTAAATGACTTGACGAGCTCACGGCCCATCTGGTGTTAAGAGGTTAATGGAGCCCGTAGACATCTGCTAAATACCGCCTCCCATCTTGGCTTGGTAGGTTTAATGTGTAATTTGAATTATTATTTTTATTGTTCATAATCAGCCTATAGCAGTCCACTGCTGGACATAGGCCTCTCCAATTGTTCGCTACTGAGCACGATCCTCGGCTTCTCTCATCCAGTTCCTGCCAGCCACCCTGCACAGATCATCACTCCACCGATTTTTATTATTATTATACAACTAGCGACCCGCCCTCGTTTCGGAAACTGTAATTTATTATTGATTTCTCCACTATTTAATGGATGTTATTATACATATAAACTCTCTTCTTCAATCAGTCTATCTGTTAAAAAAAACCACATCAAAATCCGTTGCGTAGTTTTAAAGATTTAAGCATACATAGGGACAGAGAAAGCGACTTTGCTTTATACTATGAAGTGATAACTCACTAAATGTTATACAATAACTCACTAAATTTTTATATATTCCGTAATACCAGATACGCGAAAAAGCTGTGCTATTTTCAAAGTTGCATTCAGAATTGCGTTTCTTATGACCTTGACAACAGCATCCTTGACGAACTCCAGGAGACGGGCGGGCTTGGTCTTCATCCCGTTGTGGTAGGTGTAGTCCTCGGCTGCGGACGGCCTCTGGTCGAGGCAGGCGGCCACGAGGCGCTGGTAGCCGCGCGCCGTGCGGTCGCTGAGCGCGTGCGACAGCAGCCCGGCCAGCGCGCCCTCGGGCACGGCGCGCGGCACGTGCTCGCTGGCCAGCAGCTCCGCGCACGTGGGCCGCAGGCTCGCCTCGTGGTTCAGCAACCATCTGACCATCGACCAAGGTTTCGCGTTAGCCAGCGTCGCAGAAACCTCATTGACTCATGAAGTATAGTTGGGTGGTGGGGCACCGCGGACGGGCAGCCGAGGAGCTTCACAGGAGGAGAACGTATAAAAGTGCGTCCAGTCTCTGGTTCCCACAGCGCAAATGACCTTCTATGATTTATCGCAAATTATTCGTTTATTATTTTACCTATTACAATGTTTCTAGAACACGAGCAGCGTCGACATAAGATATTTTATTTTTTATTGCTTAAGGTGAACGAGCACACAGCCCACTCGGTGTTAAGTGGTTACTGGAGCCCATAGACATCTACGACGTAAATGCGCCACCCACCTTGAGATATAAGTTCTAAGGTCTCAAGTATAGTTACACCGGCTGCCCCACAAAAGCATTACTGCTTTACGGCAGAAATAGGCAGGGCGGTGGTACCTACCCGTGCGGACTCACATGAAGTCCTACCAACAAAATTATAATAATTGGTCCATGAATTATGTACCTTTCTCCCATTACATCTCAGTCACCCTAGCGACAGCACTGACCTTATGACATGAATCTGCTTCACATTTTCGTCGACATCAAACTTATTCGGTATGACGATATCCTTGCTCCTCAAATTGGTGAGCACCATCATTCTCTCCATTCCAGTTTCGAGGGGCGGATGGAACATTTCAAACAATATTATGCCTAATGAATATATGTCCACTTTTTGATTGTATATGACCTTTGTAGCAGACTGGAGTAGTTCGGGAGCTACGTATAGGGCTGTTCCTATCTGAAAAAAAAAAAATTGTTTTTAAGGGCGTCTATTTTTTATTTTTATTGCCTAGGTGTGTGGACGAGCTCACAGCCCACCTGGTGTTAAGTGGTTACTGGAACCCATAGACATCTACAATGTAAACGCGCCACACACCATATTCATTGTGATGTAGCTAAGCGAATCACCAGGGTCATCTTTCTCGTCGAACCCGTCGCTTACGACGAAGGGCTCGACGAGTTAATTAACCCACAGACACAGCCCACTGAGTTTATCGCCGGATCTCCTCAGTGGGTCGCATTTCCGATCCGACCGTAGATTCTGCAAAGCACTGCTCTTGCTAGGATTAGTGTTAGCAAATACAGCAGGTTTGAGTCCCGTGAGCTCACCTACTAGTTCGGTGAATCTAGAATAACCCCTCGAGGTCACTAGAATAGGTAGAAAAAAACCAGGACTAGAAGACGGGGCGAGATGGATATTCAAGTTTAATGTGCCACATTCAAATTGGCAACTAGGTCTAGTCTAGATCTAGGTCTGGTCTAAAGGTATGTAATTTTATGAGTAATCGGACAAATACCGAGTAAGAGTACGAAGAAAGGTCGCCAAGCGTGAGTCAGTGAGGGGGGTTGGGGGGTGGGGTCGCACTCGGTACAATGCCCGCAGCATCTTAGTCTTAGCTCTGCACGAGTCTACGTGCACGCTGGAGTTTTAGTATATTTATTTTGGTAAATAAAAAAGCAGCGATGGCGTTCTCGATCTTGACGGTACATCCTTGAAAATTTTCGAGTGCTCTGTAGACCAATGTCCACACCTAACGCCACTTTGGTTCTCCGTCAACTCTATTAAGCAAGTGGCTAACTGGATCTTGGATGGTACGCAGCGGTAATTGAAGATATGAGTGGGTGAAAGGGATATGATACAATTTGTTAATTTTGAGAAAATGGGCAACAAACTTCTGTTACTTATTTTTGAGATATTATATGCGTTTGTGACTGTTATTTTTATTATTTTAAAAGTGAAATTATAGTACTTCCATTTCTTTACCGATATGGAGAAAGGAAATGAAAAAAAGAATAAGAATATCATTTAAAATTAAAGAATATGTTAAGTACCCATGTCACTTTCATTCAACGTGATAATAGTTTTTTCTTGGCACGTAACTCCTTCATCACATGCAATTTCTAAAAATAGCCTTTAAGTCCGAAGTTTTAAGGTCTAATATGGTTTATAGACACATAACGCCTTCATTCAATGTAAAAAGTAAAAAATCTTAAAAATTGTACTTAACCTCTTCATCCACTCATGTCTTTAATTACTGAACTGGTCAAATTTATGCAAAACTGTCGGGTTTATTAAGAGACAATCGAGATGTACAATTTCGGCCAGTGTTACTGAAAGCGTTAGAAAACTAAGAAAAAACGATTTACTAAAACCGGAGACAGTTTGGGAGCCACTGTTTATCTGAAAAGAAAATACCTTCGAATTCCGCATAGAAACTGAAAAAACTTAATAGGTTTATATGATTCACGTACTTGCCCAGTTAGGGAACCGCCTATTTCTTCTTGTTTCGTTTTATCTGTAAATGAACAATACCATATCACACTGAGTGGTATATCGCATGCTAATAATAAATTTCAATTAGTTTCTCATGACTGATATAAAAAAGTAAATACAAGAACGCAGGGCTGCCCCGGGGCAGAAATAGGCAGATTGCTGGTACTCGCCTGTTCGGGCTTAAACCAGTAGTTACGCAATTTGTAGATATGACGGATTCCAATTTTATTCAATTACTAGCGACCCGCTCTCGCTTCGCTTCGGAAACGAGAAATTTTATTATTGATAGCCGAGTCCCGCGATGTTACCAACCCGCGTTTATTGTCGTACCGCGGATGACGCCGCGGGGCGAAGCTAGTCCAAAATAAAGTAGTCCAAAAGTCTCGTCAAAATTGGGAACAAACAGACAGACAAAAATTGTAAAAAAAGTGTTATTTTGGTATATGTACTGTATAATAATATATATTCATATGCATGTAGTAAAAAGCGGTTATTTCAATATTACAAACATACACTCCAATTTTATTTAAATGTATAGATTAAAATTATATATAAATAAAAGTTATGAAAACAACATCTGACCTTCAACCGGCAGTCCCGTGAACGCTTTAGTTGCTAGTCCGAAGTCTCCAATCTTGACATGGTCGTTCGAGTCCAAGAATATATTCACAGGCTTGAGGTCCCTGTGTATCATGCCTCTCTGATGCACATGTGCTAGACCTTCGACGATCTCCCGGAACAGCCTCCACGCCCTGAAATGTTCCTGGAACAGGCCGTTGTCTATGGCTTGTCTCAACGTATGCTTCTCGCAAAATTCCATTTGGATGTATAGGACTTGCTTGAGACGCTCGGATTGAGGTCTCGGCGCGTCGACAACGTCTTCCGATGGTAACGTCTGAGATTCTTCGTCGTCAGAGGTTTTTTCGAATTCGATAAGTTCGCTCGATTCGTCACCGGGGCTGAAATGTTTCGGTGATGCGTCAATAGATGGCGCTTATTTCGATTTATTTATTTTTAAACGCAGAAATATAAGGAACCACTGACCTGATGATATTAAACCACGGATCCGGTTCATCGTCATCGCTATCTTCGGTGTCTGATGTGGAATTCGTCATCTGCGCCGGTCCCTCTGACATGGACCACTCCACTTTGACCTCTTGTCCCAGTTTCGCGACAATACCTTCCAAGCTGGGTTTCCGGGTGGGAGTTTTGGTGGGAGATTCCTCACAGTCTATCGGTTCAGTTGTCGACTCGATCCACGCGTTGTAATAGCGGACTACGTTCTCGTGGTTGAGCCTGGAGAGGAGTTTCACTTCTCTTGTTATCTTCTTGTTGAGCTGAACGCTTTCGGGATTCAGTTGGACTCTTTTTATCGCGTAGAAACCTCCGTCCAGTTTGTTCTTTACCTACGATTTGTAAGCAGTTTTTCGAGGTGATTATACAGGGTGTGGTTTTTTCGATCGACCCGGTGTTTCTAGTACACTAAATATATTTGATTTAAATGAATCTTATTGAAGTGAAACTTCTTTGGAATCGTGATTTTAATCTCGATGAAACGAAAAAATAAGTCCATAAAGACACAAACACATAAATGTATAGGATTCAGCCGGCGAGAGAATGAGATAGAACACATTAGACGTTCTCAGTGTAGTGTTTTATTTAATACAGCGCCATCTATGAGCTTTTTTAATACTAACGTGTGTATGAAACCTTTTGTTGTGAATTTTAATTTAGGATTATACGTGAAGTTAAAATATCAATTCACAGAGGGCGCTACCTCATACTATAAAAAACGATTTACAATTATTTACTAATGACAAAATTTTACATATACTTAGACATTTAGGATAATCGTATTTAAATTTTTGAAGGTTTCACTTCTACCACGTTTGAATTGGACACACGTTTCTTTTTTTTTTCAATCGGAATTGGTTCGTAGCGTATTAGTAGTATATCGAAATATTAACATTTGATTTCACTATCAGTTTCATTAAGGTCTGCGAGGCAAAATTAGCATATTTTTTTATTTTTGAATTAATTTTCGGCTTTTAGTGTTTAGAACTTGGACAAGGAAAGTTTGATATATACCTTCAAAACATCACCGAATGCGCCTTTCCCGAGCCACGCCAGCACTTCAAACTCAGCGTCCAGCCGCGACAGCCCGTTGTTGGCAAAACTCATGTGTCGAATCTTTTTGACGGCGTCGTCGTCCTGCGATGCAAACACGAATCAGCTAAGGCTTCGCAAAGCGCAACCCTTTGCCCAGTAACGGCGGCTAATTTTATGAAAGAGGTTCCCAAATAATTTTTTTTATTGCTTAGATGGGTGGACGAGCTCACAGCCTACCTGGTGTTAAGTCCACCGTTCAAACCGAAACGCATTACTGCTTCACGGCAGAAATAGGCAGGGTGGTGGCACTTAACCGTGCGGACTCACAAGAGGTTCAACCCCCAGTAAAGAATCAAGCAGACAGAAGAATCTTCACAGGAACATCTATATATAGGATATATAGGAACGTCTATATATCTATATATAAGAAGAAGACTTAAAAAAGTTACCTCTGAACCGCTTCCACCGTCGTCGGCACGTTTGACGTAAGGTTTCTTTGTCGGAGCTTCGACTAAGAAGTAATGACTCATCAACTGCTTCGCCGACCATTGTGAATGTTCGTCTTCCGTTAAACATCTGAAATTAATATGAAAATTACAGTATTTTTTACGGATCACACGACTCTAAATATAAAGAAAAGAAAAAAAACTTTTATAAGTTCGTAGACAATTACAATTACTTTTACGGTTTTGTCTCGAGTTCATATTATCTTATCTGGCGTGCTAGCTACCGTATAATCTTCAATAAAAAAAAAAACTTGTTTGTTATTTCTTTATTGAAGATAAACGAAAAACTTGTTTAAATTAAGATGAAAAACAAACATGATTTGCATATTTTAACTTTTACGTCACTATTTCATCTATAAATATATAGATAATGGGGGACCAATCGCAGACTGCAATTTCTTGTAGTGTGGGAACCAAAGAGATATAAATATTCAGTACACCAGTTACAAGTGAGGCTATTTGAGGTTAACATAAACAATTTACTAATAGCTAATTTTCATTAACAATATTTGAATTGTTAGACTTTACTTAGAGATTTTAACGTTAATAATAGTGATTTTTTTTGAAGGAATTGAAATCCCTTATAAATGCTCGAAGGTTCAGTTGTCAATGGAATTTAAACTTTATTACAGATGAACTACAGATTTAAAATCTTTAAAAGAATACTCCTAATCGAATGAAGAAAGTGGTTTAACACTTAAGTTTCATTTAAATGCATGTAAATGTTTTTTTCTATTTATTTGTTTCTATTCACACTTACCTGGATATGAAGTCTTTTGCCACGCAAGGGAGCTCCTGCGGTATTTCTGTATACGATTTTTCTTTGCAAACAATGGATAACAGAAGTTGTCCGGTCGCATAGATATCTTGGGCTGGGGTTTGCCTATGAAAGATTAGGTATTAAGAATAATTTTAGAGCTGTTCATAGAACTAGGTGTTCCAGTGTATACAGAGACAATGCTTGATTTAATTACCATAGGACAAACTGGACATAATAATGATCATTGTATTTTAAATATTCTAGCTGAAATGTATATCCTGTGTGGTAAGAATAGGCAGAATGCCAGTATTTACCCGGGCACTGTAATCCAATTTGTGGGATTAAAAACATTTATTCTAGTCCAGAAATGATATTATAATAACACAGTAAATAAAACTTACTTATCACAATAGTTATCATTGTCCAACATTTCAGCCAACCTGGTGTCCAAGCTAGCACCAACCAACTTCACTTGGCCAACGTCATCGACGAATACATTTTCACTTCTAACATCCCTATGTATTATATTCGCTGCATGCAATTCGTTTAACGCACTCAAAACACCGTCAGCCACATGTCTCAAGAGGCCCAAAACCTCAAAGCAATCACTGAAACCACTCAACTTTTTCACTAGATTCTTCAAGGACGTCCCTAGAACGAAACTTCTGAATATATAAATGCACTGTTTTGACGTTCGTTTGTTTACTTCTTTACACATCTCCATTGCAACGTATGGGATCAAGGAGGCGTTGCTGAGTCGGGCAAGCGACTTCACGTCTTGCTGTATCGATGTAAGCTGTTTGTTTCTCGTTTGGAAGTCTGAAGCCGGTGGGATGCTCCACTTCTTTGCGATAAGACTTTCCCCTGTGTCGTCGTCTATCGCTAGATATGTTGTCGCGCCGGTCGATGAATGTCCTGTCAAGAATTAATGTAGACTTGTACTCATAGGTTATATGGGTCGTAGATATAATTAAAAATATATGGTTTAATTTTATTCTTTATTTATTTATTAAGTTGCACCAACAAAGTGATCAACTGACAAAAGTTCATGACAGATGTCACCTCAATTATAGGTGCAATCGACAGTGCATTAACAACAAAAATAAAAAAATATAAATTAATGTTTTAATTAATACGCAAACGATATTGGTAATGCTATTGGGTGACTATTGCAGTGATTTCTTATATTTTGGGAATATACCACGGGCATCGGGCGGTGTTTTTTTTTTTTTTTTTATTGCCTTTGTAGTCAGACGAGCATACGGCCCACCTGATGGTGAGTGGTTACCGTCGCATATGGACTTCAGCAATGCCAAGGGCAAAGCCAAGCCTCTGCCTACCGCTTAATACTCTCCACAAGCCTCGTTTGAAGAAGGACATGTCATAGCGCTCGGGAAACACCGTGGAGGGGAGCTCATTCCATAGCCGGATGGTACGTGGCAAAAAAGATCTCTGGAAACGCACTGTGGATGAACGTAGTGGCTCCAGGTAGTATGGATGAACTCTACTCCGGTGGCGGGCGGTGCGATGGTAAAAAGGAGACGTTGGTATCATCTCGAACAATTCCTCAGAGCACTCCCCATGGAACATGCGGTACAAAATACAGAGGGAACCGAAGTCCCTCCGCAGACCCAGAGGCTCCAAACGATCCGTGTATCTACGCCACCGATTTTAGAAAACCGTAGACCGTTTCAAATAATTATTAATGTGCACGTCAATAGTCAATGACCGTGATCTGTCAAACTTCGATAAAAAAGTATGGACAGCAACAGAAAAATATTTTTTTATTCTATTTTTTAATTAATTATTTATCTAATAATGAAGACTCATTAATATGTTTGTTGTAATGAGTCTTACACACAGCCTTAATTTCCTTGATATGTTGACTACTGCTCGAGGTAAATTAAACATGAATTTAGATGATATCAAAAAGAAAACCTATTTATTTAAAAATCACGGCTGCAACACTGTCGGGCCCTACAATCTATGGATGGGCGACGATGATTACTCAAGCATTGGGGATGAGTGGAATCGGCAAGCTCGAAGATTTGGTTTATAAATTAATATTTAAAAAAATCCTACCTTTTTTACTGACTTTACCTATTTTTTTCGTCACAATATGGCGCAGGTCTATGCACATTTACACCTACTACAGATTCCAAAAATTATCTACCTAAACAGCTCCCTATGTAAACCTTCTTGTTGTTCCGTTGCGTCACTCTGAGCACTTGCACTCCTCGCGTGTTACACGTGCACGGAACCTCCATGTTTCGAAGACGTGTTGATTTCTTTACTGGCGACATTTTATCGTCCGCATAGCTGAGAAACAACAAATAAAATGACGTGTAATTTGGTGGGGCCATCACAAGTTTTTTTTTTTAGTCTGTGCGTCCATGACGTTTTCCTAAATCGTATTACGCACAGGGTGCGATGTGTCAAGGTCGCTGACAAAAAATAATTTTTACGTTTCATTATTTTAGTCGTAATGAATAAATTTCCAAGAATGTCAAAAAATCATGAAATGTAATTTGAGTAATTACTATACAATTGAGACAGACCCAAAGTCTAGCAAGATAACGCCATTCACGACGTGTGACTTAAGCCGATAGCCTTGAGATGCTATGTCAGCGTAACATAACAAGTTGGAGATCTCTCGGAGCTCAGACATGACGACGTTGCTAACACTAACCATAGCAAGTGCAGTGCTTCGCAAAATCTACCACTGGATCGGAAACGCGAGCCACTCAGATCCGGCGAGAAACTTAGTGGGCTGTGTCTGTGGGTTCAAACGGTGACCGGTGCTTGAGGTACCTAAAAACACCGTTAGTGGATCGAGAGGATCCGAAATGACATGTCACCTGTGTGCTTAGTGCGAGTTTTTTAACTTCTAGATCGCGTGAAAGTCACCTCAGTATGGAGTTGGAACAGCGCCCCTAGCGGCAAACGAAGGGAAGCTAAGTTAATTTTTTTTTTCTCCTACCTAAGCTGGTAGCCTAGAGAGGCTATTCCAGCGTAACCGTAACTAGTAGGTGAGCTCACGGGGCTCAATCCTGACGACGATGCTAACACGAACCCTAGCAAGAGTCGTGCTTCGCAGAATCTACCACCGGATCGGAAACGCGACCCACTGAGAAGATCCGGCGAGAAACTCAGTGGGCTGTGTCTGAGAGTTAATTTACTCGTCGAGCCCTTCGTCGCAAGCGACGGGTTCGACGAGAACGATGACCGGTGCTTGAAGTACCTAGAAGCACCGTTAGTGGATCGGGAGGATCCGAGATGACGTGTTTTGGGCGACGTCGACTACTTTCCATTCTGTCCGCAGGATCGGGAATGAGCTAAGTTAAAAAACTCGCACCAAGCACACAAGGTGGGTCGTGAACTTCTTCGTCGTCTATGCAGTTAAAAAAAAATTATATAAACAAAAAAATCTCACAATACAAGCTCTGGTGCATCCACCTTTTCATCAGTGCAGTCCTGTTCCGTGCTGTTATCATGGCAGAGGCTGGAGACTCGGACACGCTGTCTTCCGGCACCTTTGAGTATCTCCTGACGACGTTGTATCTCATCTTTGATTTTTTGGCGCTGATTAGGAAAAAATTTTATTAGTTCATAGAGCTTTTACAATTTTTTAATGTTATTTTTCTTAACCAACAAACGAGCTGATAGCCCTTTTAGTAGTCAGTTACCAGAGTCGAAAGAGACCAAAATGTGGATCTCGCCATCAGCTTTCAGAGACCGGTTTGTAGCTTTAATTATATTATGTAGACATAGACGTCTTATAAACCGAGTGTCTATTACAGCTTCGCAATCTAATTAAGCTATATATCAGCTTTCAATTAAAATTAATTGACATGTCAAAAAATACTATGTAGACTACTTCCTTAGTGATAATTCTAGGTCTTAGTCTACCTAGCTCTTGGTTACGATAACAGTCGTCTGTGTAGTGTGCCAAGCTGTTTACAAACTTTGTTAACTATTTATTTACTTTGAGAAGTTTGTACAAATAAAATTAGTAAGTAAATATATATTACTTCTTCCTCCTCTTTGGTTTGTAAATCATGAAGTTTCAGTTTCTCCATTTCATTCTTCTGCTTCAGCATTTCATCGTAAAACGACAATATAGGCTTATTGTGATCATGCAGAAATTGCTGTAAATTTTGAAGTAATAATTTTACAATCTTTTCTTACAGTTCAACTTTTAACATCATATTTTTAAAATGATTGTGTATCTATAATATAATGCATATATACAATATGTGGCAAAAATTCAACGCTAAGCGGGTACCAGAGGGTGGGTCTGCTCATAACTTCTCGAGAAAAAAAAAATGTATTAAGAAATTTCTTGTTCTAATTCCTGCATCAAACCCACAACATGTAGACAAGCGTTTGATAATATTGTCGGTCATATGACATATACTTTACCTGTGCATGCTGGGCTAGTTGGAATATCATAACTTCACCACACAATTGATGTGACAATGTCTCCAATTCAGCCAATAATTTGGTGGCATTGTCTGTGGATAATCCATGCATCTTGTGTATGGCTAGACTTGGTGGCCTGAAATATAATTTTCAAATACAACAGAAAACTTTTAGGCTATTGCTATGAGCTTTTTTTTTTTTAATGCTTAGATGAGTGAATGAGCTCACAGCCCACCTGGTATTAAGTGGTTACTGGAGCCCATAGACATCTACAACGTAAATGCGCCAACCACCTTGAGATATAAGTTCTAAGGTCTCAGTATAGTTACAACGGCTGACCCACCCTTCAAACCGAAACACATTACTGTTTCACGGCAGAAATAGTTCATACTAAGAGGCTTCATACCAAGAGGTGCACTTCAGTGTTCTACTAAAATATGTATGTAATAGTTGTTTAATAGTATGTTCATAGTTTGAATCCATCCGTGTGTGGATTAGGAAGCATCCTTTAATAAGGTGATTCTTCCTTTTGAAGTATACCCCTTTTAAATACCATTTCTTTATTTTGATTCTTGACACTAAGTACTTATTTAATTATAATTGAATATATGTTTAATGTAGTAGTAATGTAAGAGTAACATTAAATGTTAGAAAATAGCAGTTTTTTTTTATAATTAGCACTAATTTTATGGTATAATATTTTCTGTATTACCACTACTGTTGTCCATAGAAACTAAATAATTCAAAGCTAATATAATATAATAAAAATAATTTAATCAAATATAATATAATAAAATAATCATGTCTATGACTTGTAAAAACCACCAGATATATTTTAATAGTATGTTATATCTACTAAAGTGCTAGCAAAATCTAGTTCTAGCAATAGATTTAACTAGAAAATTCCTCTAGTCTGAGCTTGCACATAATCAATCGATATTATCTAACTTTTCTGTCTACCTTTCAATCTACAGACATCCACTGTTGGGTATAGACCTGCCCCAAATGGATATCAGGATTGGTATTATTATAGTATTTTCTTTTTATGTATACTGTTACTTACTTGTCAGGATAATTATTGCAACATTTTAAATGCAATGTTACAGAGCAGTGAACACCTTGTATATCTGAGTTGTGAAGTGGATTCAACGTCAACATTATATCGAGCGGACGCCATACTTTCCAAGCAATGTTTTCGCGATTATCAATAACAGCATCACCATATATAGCCTGTGAAGTATTTATATTGACAAATACAATAAACACCATAAAATATAACATGGAATACAAAATTATCTGTAAGATTTGTGTAGCCAAAATTCAGTTTACTACTTAATAAATAAAAAGTCATGCAGTAAAAACAGTTTCAGCTGTGGTCTATTACAAAGAATAGAAAGGCTTCTTTTTACTGATCCACAGAAAATATAGTTTTTTATTTTTTTATTACCCACACTACATATTAATTCTGTTTTTATTTTATATGAAATATTGTTAGGATATTATCATTATCATATAAATAATAACTATACTAACAGCATTAAATAATTAATGTGGCTCTAAGAAAAATCTGAAGGAGGTAGAATTAAAACAACTAAACAATGGTTTTAAATCCTACAAAACTTTTAAAGACTCTAGTTTAGTTTCTCGTAATTTAGATAATACAACTACAATATGCCATATTGCCTAATTAAATGGCGAAATTAATGCAGTCTTAACAAAATATAACCTGTAAGGCGGTTAGCTCATTATTTTGTCTCTCCTCGTAGCTCTCTTCAGCCATTATTGGCCTCACAACTGTCCTTGATTAACAATACAACAATTTTAAGATCATAACCGCATCTTTTCAGTAATTACTTTACATTTTCATTCTATTTTGTGTCCTACGTATTTAAATTAAGTGCACTTGGGTCGTCTTGAAATATTTGTTTAATGTTTATGTTGACCATAAATGTATTGGTTATCTATGATGTTGACTGACGTTTACCACTGTCAAGTTGATATTTTATTTCTTTTAAGGGATGTTATGACCTGGTAACTAAGACTTTTAAGTCATGTCTTATTTTAATTTATTTTCTTATTTTTATGAAAAATGATGAAATGAAATGAAGATGATTGATTTGAGACATTAATCAACTGGGATGAAATCAAATGAAATGAGATGAGATGATATGGGATGAAATATAATCTCAGTAAAAAGGTGGTCATCTACTAAGACTTTTTCATTGGACTTTTTGGAGGATCCCGAGAAGTGACGTCCAGCGGCTTTGTTTCATTTTTCCACATTTGTGCACTTTCACAGATATTAAACAGTTAATAAACCACCGTTATTACACATTTAAACCTGAAAAAACATTAAATAGACAAAATAAAACAAATCACACAACTTTACTCCTCGCGTTCCCGCCAAAAAGTCCGATATTTTATTTCTTTTTGTACCTATATACATTATACACTTAATATAACATCTAGCTCATAAAACATAAATTAATAATTATGATTTAGCTTCTTTCGACGTTGTTGTTGCCAGTGTCAAGTTTGAAAAGTTCTTCAATGCTGAAACATGTGAAATGAGGCGAATTTGATTAATTTGCGGCATTAATCAATTGGGATGAATCTAAATGAAACTTTTTTTTCCTACCTGAGCTGATAGCCTTGAGAGGCTATATCAGCGTCGCCTTAACTAGTAGGTGAGCTCACGAGGCTCAAACCTGATCCGGTCGATTCTGCGAAGCACGGCTCTTGCTAGGGTTAGTATTAGCAACGTCCTCAGGTTAGAGCACCGTGTGCTCATCTAAACGCTTGGTGACACTGGCATAGCCACTAAGGCTAACAGCTTAGGTACGAAAAAAGTTTCGGATATATTATTAAAGTTAAAGTACTTTCGGGTACTTACCTCACCGCCAATCTGATTTAAGTGGTTACTGGATCCCTGATTTTAAATTTCCATAATACGGGCCAAAAGCCCACTTTATGCAAAGCTGTTACCGTCTCTCATTGAGAATAGCAAAGTCAGGAACACAATCAAGCCGCTTCCTACCGCTGAGTACTCTTATCAAATTTATTTTGAAGAAGGTCGTGCTATACCTAGCTCGGGAAACGCTACGGAGGGAGCTCATTTCAAAGCCAGATAATGTTTTCCAAAAACCATGACGTAAAACACACAGTTGAAGAAGTTGCAGAAATGAACGCTGCACCAATAACAGGTACTGCAATTGTAAACGAGAATCTTGGGACCATTTCTGAGCACTCCTAATGGAAGATACGGATATAGAAATCTGAGCACTAACTTTCTCCGTAAATTCAGAGTTATCAACGATCCGTGATGTCGGCACAAGCAAAAATCGGGCCTTTTTCTATACGGCCTCACACGATAGTTTTTGCCAGCCAGTCTTATTATGTCGGTGTAAATTTATCTTTATAGGAGACTAACTGTACCCGTCCGCTTCGCTGGGTATTTAAAATTAAGATTATTATTTCTCACCCCCACAAAGATTCTCATCATTAACGTCCCCGCAACTGGTGTAGGGAATCCAACACTCATATAAATATTAGCCTATCCATTATGTACATGTATTTTCTACATGGATACCAAGTTTCAAGTCAATCGGATTCATGGTTCAGTAGTTATAACGGAACATCCGTAAAAACTAGTGTAGATTTTTAAATTAGTATAGTTAAGACTATTTTAGAGGAAAAATAAAAACACTAGGTTTTGTGTACTTTTCGTATCATTTATTCCTTTATCTATTTATATGAAACTGTACTTATGATTTAACAATTAAAACAAACATTTGGGAACGGTATTTTAGTTTTCGCCTTCTCCAACAATATCGAAGCGAAATGTGTTCCCCAGTTTTCAGCGCTATTCCTGTTCATGCTTGGGACAAACTGAAAATTCGATGAACACAAATTATTATGTGAATAAAGCTAATCTGAAAATTATATACATAGGTAAGTAGTTCCTGTTCCACATTCTTGTTTGGACTCTGAAAGTGTGTTTAGACAACGCAAGCTTACTGGTGGTAGGATTTATTGTGAGTCCGGTTTCACCACCCTGTCTATTACAGTGAAGCAGCAGTAATGCGTTTCGGTTTGAAGGGTGGGACAGCCGTTGTAACTATACTGAGACCTTAGAACTTATATCTCAAGGTGGGTGGCGCATTTACGTTGTAGATGTCTATGGGCTCCAGTAACCTCTTTACATCAGTTGGGCTGTGAGCTCGTCCACCCATGTAAGCAATAAAAAAATAAAAAAGCACATATTTTAAATAAGTCTTCACGAGTTGATGACGGTATTCTGTCTTTTTTGTGTGTAATGTAGATCAGTGTGCTTAGTGCGAGTGTTGTAACGTTCTCGATAGCGTAAAAGTTAACTCAGATTGTATGCAGTTGGAATAGCGCCCCTATCGGCAAACGTAGGCAATTGTTCCAACTACACACAGATTTGAGTTAACTTTTACACTATCGATAATGTTAAAAACCTCGCGCTAAGAACACTGTTCGATAGAATTGGAGTATCGTGTCTCAAAATGCCAACGTTACAGTTATTTAGTGCAATAATAAATCAATAAGCTATAATAAATCGACTTTATTACTGTAGACAGGGTGGAAGAAGACGGACTCCGAAGCCGAAACGACAGTAAAGTACACTTATTAGTACTTTTTGATTTTTTTATTATTGGTGCTATTATGTGTCTATACTCTCTTTAAAAGTCATAATCTATATTTTTTATTTATTAGCTAAGATAGGTGGACGAACTCTTTTTTTTTATTGCCCTTGTGGGCAGACGAGCATACGGCCCACCAGATGGTGAGTGGTTACCGTCGCCCATGGACTTCAACAATGCCAGGGGCAGAGCCAAGCCGCTACCTACCGCACTCGCGGGCCACCTGGTCTTAAGTGGTCATCGGAGCTCATAGACATCAACAACGCTAATGCCACAGCCCATCTTGAGAAATGAGTCCAAATATCTGTTTTTACAGTACAATGTGTGCCACAGGCTCAAAATTTTGTTAAGAGAGTAACATAGGCTATCCCAAAACACTTCATATTCCCCTGAGACACTATACTGACACATTTCGCTTGACGCGGACCAGTTCCACATACTTAGGGCTTAAGGGGCGCGCGGGGACCTCGTAGGACATTCGGTCCCCGGCCTGAAAAAAAGGGACCGGTATCGCACATCTTTGAGCTCGCAGATTCACAGTCGCGGATCAGTCCCACATACTTAAGGCTTAGGGGGCGCACGGGGACCTCGTAGGACATTCGGTCCCCGGCCCGAAAAAAAGGGACCCGTAGCGCACCTCCTTGGGCCCGCAGATTCACAGTCGCGGATCAGTCCCACATACTTAAGGCTTAGGGGGCGCACGGGGACCTCGTAGGACATTCGGTTCCCGGCCCGGAAAAAAAGGGATCGGTAGCGCCGTCTTTGTTTTCGGAAACTTTTTTTGCACATCAACCGGTATAGTGCATTTTCTCTTTAGCTTCAAATTAAAAAACTATCATCTTTTTCTTTCTACGAGAACCTCCTTTCTGTGTGGATTATCGAAGAGCACTTACACGTCTCGACAAAGCTTCGGTGATGCTGTCCGATGGCATATAGTCCATCCGGACTGTAGCACTGGGCATCAGACTCAACAGCCTCATAGAAGTATGAAGTTCCCCAGACACCAAATTCTTGTGGACCTGAAGATAAAATTATTTCTCAAAGGTGGTGGAATTTGCGTTGTGACGTAGATTTATTCCGATATCCTGAATATCAAAGGCGGGCTCGTCTGTTCTATCGTTAAAAACGCTATGATAATGAAATTGAAACTATGCATTTTATTTTCTTTCTATGCTGGTAACCTCGAGGTATTAGACCAGTTTTGTCAAATTAATAGGTGAGCTCACGGGACTTTGCTAACACTAGCAGGAGTAGTACTTGGCAGAATCAACCACCGGATCGGAATCGCGACCCACTGATAAGATCCGGCGGGAAACTCAGCAGACTGTGTCTGAGGGTTAATTTGCTCCCCGAGCCCTTCGTCGTAAGCGACGGTTTCGACGTGAACGGTGACCGATGCTTGAGGTACCGATAGTGGATCGGCAGGATCTGAAATGAAGTGCTTAGAGCGACGGTGACTGTTTACTGTTCGAATGCATGAATTTCAATTGCCAATCGGATTGGACGCAATGCATTTCTATACACTTTTTTTGTTACTTAGTTATTGGTAATTATTTAGCGGGGTTTATTGACGTCATCACCATCCATCTTTAGATATGAGCCTCAATTGTATAGTACAGCGTCACCTTTCCAACCAGAACACACACTAACTAACGGCTGTGGAAACTAAGCCCTTTCATCTTCTCACTTCCTCCAATAAGTTTATTATAATAGGTTTGATTTTCGAGAACGATAGTTCTACAGAAGCGTTTATTTCTACAAAAAAGTGGATCATAGATAGCTTTACTTACATTCAATTCGTATTGAACTAGTATATGTGTAAAAGCTCCGGTATAGTGCCTAAGTTCATCATTGATGTGCGCATCAACATCGAAGCCAACTTTCACGTCCCTTAAATTCAATCTTCCGCGAACTAAAGCCGTAGGAACGCTCGCCCCGTTCACAATATCCCTGGTGACTCTCTGTTCCATATTCGTGACATCTATCTTCTCTATGGACACTAGAAACCCGTTAGTGTAAGTCGCGTTTCCAGATACCAGGAAGTTGTAGAGTTGTTCACTGAAATCGATTAATCGATCGATAAGTCGATTGTTGTTTGACGTGTTTAAATAGTGCTGTAGCACAGATAAAATATAGCTCCGTGCCAAGCTTAGTCGGGTATAGGAAATAAGAGAAATAAAATAGATGTAGTAAACGCGAGGTTAAGCCGTAAAAGTTATTTTAATTTTATGAATTTTATTATTATGACACGCGAAGACGTAAAAAATTACTAGACATAATTTTTTTACTTTTTTTTATTGCTTAGATGGGTGGACGAGCTCACAGCCCACCTGGTGTTAAGTTGTTACCGGAGCCCATAGACATCTACAACGTTAATGCCGCCATCCACCTTAAGAGATATAAGTTCTAAGGTCTCAGTATTGTTACAACGGCTGCCCCGCCCTTCAAACCGAAACGCATTACTGCTTCACGGCAGAAATAGGCCGGTACCTACCAGTGCGGACTCACAAGAGGTCCTACCACCAGTACTGACTTCTTCTAAAACTGACTTCATAATAGGAGGACGTTCTCGATTCGATTGAAGAAACTTGAAACATAACTTTTTTCCAGGTAGATTGATTTTGATGATTCTTTTTTTTTCATTTGATAACTGACGTTTTCCATGTGTCATTTCATGTCATGTCATTTAAATCAAGAAATGAGGATCTGAACAATACGTTTTTGAGTTATCCTCAAAATAACGAATATTTAATTCACTTCGACTACATTATCTTAAATACTAATTTTATTTTGTTAATGCTGGTTTTCTTGTTAAAATTCTTTGTTAACAAATTCATAATTGTAAATATCGGCAAATAAAATAACACTTACTTATGTTCTATAATTACGTCATTCAATTTCAAATTGCAGAAGCCACGTTTTTCCAACTCATAAACTAGCTCTTGAATAAGTTTTGTGTAGTATTCTGTGTGATGCTGCACTCTCGCCCTGGTGTCGACAACTAGGAGGTAGTTTTATTTTCAATTAAACGTTAATTGTCTTAAGATTCAAAATCACATAAAGAAACAAATCTTTCACATTCACTTGGGCGATTACTTGCCAAATGTCAGCTGTGTTAAAAATAGAGTGATGATACTTCAATTTCAAAACTTAATCATCAGCGCACAGAGGCTCACTGCTGAACTTATGCCTCCCACAACGTTCCAAGTTTCGCCACAATGACAGGTTTTGCGCCGACCGCATCTGGCGGATTCCCGCGCCATTTAGCAAGTCGCGGGTCAACCTCGTGAAAAGTTAAACAGTTAGAAGTAATTGTAACAAAACAGATAACTGTAAGCACTTATTTTAGCTACAAATCTTTGGTTAATAAGTAAAGGACAGCAACAGATTTCATCATCATCATCATCATCATCAACAGCCCACAGTCGTCCACTGCTGGACATAGGCCTCTCCCAATCCACACCACTGAGCCCGGTCTGCGGCTCTCCTCATCCACTTCTTGATTCTTGCAAAAGATTTGATTGAAATTATTCGATGGAAACTCTGGATAGTCGTATTCAGTATGTTAAGCCTAATGCTTTTATTAGTAGAGAGTATTTCTGTCCTAAATATTTCATGCGCTCCTCTTGCAATGATGGGATTTACAGGATAGTACAATTGTTGCAAAGTACGGCTGCGCGCCGCCCCTTATGTGTGAGTGATTAATCTGTATACGCGTCAATGTGGGGGTGAGAGCACGTACAATAAATTAGTAACCAAAATTTCATTAATTCAAGTTATCGATTTCACCCACTTTTATATTTGAAGCAAATTAAAAAAAATACTTATTAGGTCAAAATAAAAACGAACCACATCGTTATTAGTAACTAATCAACCGTACTTCGTAAACAGTAGCAATGTGGAAACAATAAGTACATGTGGCTCGAGCGATGGCTCACTCGCTACTGACCGCTTCGTCGGGTACTCACACTAACGAAAATGTGTATCTACGATTACAACTACAAATAAAGGCCACACGTGCTCGTACTTTGCAACAACTATAGATATTTATCCATGACCTCCGATAACTATTTGTACTAGATGAGCGGTTGCTTGTTTATCCATTGCTGATAATCAAATAAAATTAAAAACATAATTAATGTGACATTTCAAATATTTTTTTTAAGTGATTTTATGACCTGGTAACTAAGACCTTTAAGTCATGTCTTATTTTAATTTATATTCTTATTTTTATGAAAAATGTTAATATGGAGTGAAATGAAATGAAAATGATTAATTTGAGACGTTAATCAACTGGGATGAATTTAAATGAAATGAGATGATATGGAATGAAATATAATCTTAGTAAAATGGTGGTCATTTACTAAGATTTTTTCAGTGGACTTTTTGGAGGATCCCGAGAAGTTGCGTCCAGCGGCTTTGTTTCATTTTCCCACATTTGTGCACTTTCACAGATATTAAACAGTGAATAAGCCATCGTTATTACACATTTAAACCTGAAGAAACACTAAATAGACAAAATAAAACAAATCACACAACTTCACTCTTCGCGATCCCGCCAAAAAGTCCCCATTTCAAATCATAATACATTCTCATTCTCCTGCAGGCTAAAACATAAAGAAGTATATTTGTCTCGTATTAGAGTCGCTTTTCCTTTGATATTTCTGTTTCATTGAGCTGTGTCATTTTCGATTAATCGAATTTCAAATCATATTTAATAGAGTTAAAGAAGTTACAGATTAAAAACATAAAAGCCAACCAAAATATTTGTATTTACATTTATTTCAAAGTTTTTGTAGGTTTACGCTTCAGACTTTGCAAAATGTTACGTAGGAAACGTCTAGAAAAACAATGGAGCCTCAGCTCTGTTGTTCACAGCCATATCAACTACCTAAGTCCAATAAATTCATGATGATGTAAAACATACATCTAAAAATATAGCTCATAAAATCTTTGTATTTTGTATCAAGAAAGAAGCAATGGAAAACTCACCTAGATTGTTTTGCCCGGAAGCATACGACAAAGCCAGTATTAGCACTAAACTAGAAATCATTTTGTATTAATCAAATAATAATTCAATTTGAATTATAATTATTTAATTTAAAAAACAAACCTCCGTGCTCCTTCAATCGATTTATTACGATACGTTATCAAAGTATTCTGATAGTAATGTAATATTAACACGTAATGATCGATAGAAAAAAGATTAAAAGTAAAATCATAGAAAGGTCATCATGAAAGGTGATTCTGTAAATTATTAAAACAATTCAGTGGTATACACAAAGAAATTCAACTTTTTGTGATGATTTTCTGTAACAATTATTAAAATAACGGTAATAAGGAAAGTTCTCAATTACGATGACAAATTACGTTGTTGGTCGTCTAGATAGAAGCTATTTTTGGACAGCACGCAATGTATCATTATTGAAAATCAACTGAAACGCGAGGTCAATGTCAATGTTCTAATACCCTCAAATTGCGAATTCACTTAAAACATTAAACCTAGGTATATCTATATATAACTAGTCAGGTTATAAGTATTGTCACACAGTAAAAACTTTTCTTTTAGAATGCTGGCCACAAAAAAGTTTATTGAATTCGAATTTCCAATTGTTCATGATAATAAAAATGTATACTTTTAGAATTTTACTCATTTTTAAATATGGAGTGGACGCTTAAAGAAGACCGTGTTGCAGTTATTGCGTTGCATCGTTGCGCTTACGCGCCAATTCAAATTTTTAACATACTGAAAAATTTGAATATAACCAAAAGATTCGTTTATCGTACCATCAGACGATACAACGAAGACTCTAGTGTAGATGACAGGTCAAGAAGTAGTCGCTCTCGGTCTATTAGGACTCCAGCAGTGATAAAAGCTGTGAAGGCGCGAATTCAAAGAAATCCCAAACGTAAGAAGAAACTGTTGGCCCTTCAGATGGGGTTAAGCAGAACCACGGTGAAAAGGGTGTTAAATGAAGACTTAGGGGCTTCGAGCATGTCGAAGAAAAACAAGATATCGTTTGAATGCTCGTCTAATGGACCTGAGGCTGAAGAGATGCCGCGCTTTGTTGAAGCGGTACGCGGGAAAAAAATATCGGGAAATTCTTTTTTCGGATGAAAAATTTTTTACCGTAGAAGAGAGCTACAACAAACAAAATGATAAGGTGTACGCACACAGTAGTGAAGAGGCGAGCAACCGTATTCCGCGTGTCCAACGAGGTCATTTTCCATCCTCGCTCATGGTATGGTTGGGAGTTTCTTATTGGGGCTTAACAGAGGTACATTTTTTTGAGAAAGGTGTAAAAACGAATGCAGTTGTGTATCAAAATACAGTCCTGA